TAGTAAGACGGGATCCTTAAAGCGCTTGTATTGATAGGAAGAATTAAGTGATCTAGCGAGACATGATCCTTGATCTGGATATGATATTGTGCGTGAAACTATATATATATTTATTTATTTATTTTTCCTAGTATTTTGATTGTTCGAAGTTTGTAGTGATTGAAAGAATCAAAAGATTTAGTAAGACGAGATCCTTAAAGCGCTTATATTGATAGGAAGAATTAAGTGATCTAGCGAGACATGATCCTTGATCTGGATATGATATTGTGCGTGAAACTATATATATCTATATATATTTCTAGTATTTCGATAGTTTGAAGCTTGTAATGATAGAAAGAATCAAAAGATCTAGTAAGACGGGATCCTTAAAGCGCTTGTATTGATAGGAAGAATTAAGTGATCTAGCGAGACATGATCCTTGATCTGGATATGATATTGTGCGTGAAACTATATATATATTTATTTATTTATTTTTCCTAGTATTTTGATTGTTCGAAGTTTGTAGTGATTGAAAGAATCAAAAGATTTAGTAAGACGAGATCCTTAAAGCGCTTATATTGATAGTGTCAATAATTAGAAACATAATCAAAGTTATATTTGCAATTTTATATATATATAATTTGTTTTTTTTCGGTTTCTCCCTTCTTTTTTCTAGAATTCGAAACCAAAACAAGAAATCAATCAATATAAATATTAATCCCAAAAATTAAATAAAAAAAATTAATCCAAATTAGAATTCGATTCAAATTTTAATGTAAAATTATTAGCATGTATTTAAAAATATTTACATAATAATAGTAATATTAATCAGTAATTAATTCATGCAAAGTAAATATTTACACATAAAGCACCTTTCAAAATAAAAATCTCTATAATATTGTTAGATTCCGTTTTTCAATCCAACTCGTCCTATTTATATGGACAAAATATTTATCTTTCAAAATACTATTCCCTTCTCGCCTTTCCTAACGTCTCTTTTTCTATTTTCTTTATACATGTAAATTGTAATATTTCTTCATTTCATTTTCTCTTTATATATATATATATATGGTATTTCCAACTGAAAAAAAACTTTTTTCTAACGACTCTTTTCCTATTTTC